AAAAGGGTCCGTACCTTGAGTGACAAGCTCCAAGCAGAGAGGGAGCTCTCGCTGAAAAACTTGAATCTTATGCCTCTCCTCCTCTAAGGCCTTGACATAGTCACGGAAACCCAACCTTGAAGCCTGCATTTGCTCTGTAGACTCCATAGCTAACTTTTTATTTTATTTTTTTCTTCCTGGATTTTTCAAAGCTTGTGTCTTTATCTTCCTTCTTGGGTAAATCAGAGCTAGAGAAATGCCGGTGTGAATGTCTTTATGTATGAGAGAGATTATAAGGAGGAGCAGGTGGAGGTCCAAAGCATAGATAGAACCGAACAAGGGGGATTGGGTAACGAATGGGGCTTGTCAAGGACGCATATGGGATCCAAGTAGAATCCGAAACCGGAATAATCTTGCAGACCAAAACCAAATTATTTAAAAAGAAAGAAACCAACAAAAACAAGTTTCTAGAGATATTAAATTAGAAAAGAAAAGATGGAATTTTTAGGAGTGTTTTTTGTTTTCACAGAGAGAGAGAGAGAGAGAGAGAGAGAGAGAGAGACGTCGGGTCGTGGCGTCGCGTACAAAAGCGAATCTGTGATTGGGTTTTTATTTCCAAATTAGTTTTTTTTAGAAGTCGGGGTTGAATATTCGATGGTATGAATTGTGATTCGCTTTTCTCTGCCTATCTATGGGCTGGAGCTGACGTCACCACCTCCCCCACCTACTTTTATCTTTAATTTTTTATTTTTTATTTTTAAATGTTCTAATTTTTATCGGATAAGATCATAGACCGATTGCTCCCTCCCTCCAGAGGGCTCAGCCTCTTACCAGTTCCTTTCTTTTTCTGTTCCCTACCCTCTGTCTGTTTTTATATTTTATTTTTCTGTTTATCTGATTAATTCTTGGTCATATTTATTTCAAGTCTATTGTTTCTCTCTCTCTCTCTCTCTCTTTCTCTCTCTCTCCCCCCCTCCGAATATTCTCGGGGTTTTCCGAGAGCAAAGGGAATCTTCAAGGTTCAATCTTCTTGTGCGTGGGTGTGTGCGTGCACACTCGTGGCCACGACGCGTAGCATTAGGCGTGATTAAATGTGCCTTTTCGCGCCCTCTGAGGGCCAACTGCTGCCCATCCTAATCCACACTGCCCTCTGTTTACGCTATGTTCAATCATTGCTTCCACCACGCCCTGTCATCGGTGCGTGCTTCCCAATACCCGTAGGATTTTGACACCTGTCATTTTCTATACAAGGAAATTGAGGCCTTTTGGCTAAGATCAAGTATTCCCGGATTCTGGACGGTGCAGCGATTCCCTGGAGGTGGGCGTACTGTACAGATGGTCAATAAGGGCTTAGTATGTTTGGCGCGTTTCGGGTTGATCCATGGCCCAGGTAATAGCCGGGCTGGGGCTTATTTGGATTCAGCCCATTAATTTAGTTTAGAACTTAAATAAAAGAAAGTTTGGCAGACTTTAGCTTTTTAGATAAGTTGGTTTGAGTGGATGTGAAACCTGCTCTGTTCTCGAGTTTGGAATTCGGATCCCCCCTTTATTATAATTTAAATTAGATTAAAATAGAATATAATTTGTATCAACAACAACAAAAAAAGTTAGTTTGGTATTTAAAATGACCAATGTGTTGCCTTACTATTTAATTTATTTTTTTTATTTTTTTATTTTTTTGGTCTGAAGATGTTTTACTACCTGAGAATTGAAAGAAGATCACTCCATGTCCAGTCTTTCAACAAAATAAAATCAATGTAATGTTGAGCAAGCAAAGTGCTTCTCAAAAGTTCATCGATCACACCCGAGAAAAAGAAAGTAAAAAAAAACCTAATTGTGTCAGGCTCGAGAAGGTGACGCATAATCTTATGACCATGTGATCAATGTGAATGATATGGCAATTTACGCTCCCCCCCAAACCCCCAACCCCTCCGGACATCCAATCAGAAAATAAACGTTTTTCTTAAATTTAGTGTTCATGAATATTGGACCATCTTTTGTAGGCTCCAACTCTACAGCAAACTTTTAAATGGAGCCCAAAAAGAAGCTGCCCAAATTATAAAAGATCCTTTTTACTTTTTGGGAGTACAAGAAGAATCTCTCTTTCTCAGCCCCAAGTAACATAGCATCTTCTCTTGCTTGCTTCTTTGAAAGTTTCTATTGAATTTTATTTGTTTTCACACTCTTCAAAAAAATAATTATTAAAAAAAAAAAAGTCAGAAAATATTGCTTAAACAGTAACATAGAGATCCCTGTGCTGTGGTGGAGTCAACAATGAAATTAGTCTTTCTGAGTGAAGGAGCTGGGACTGTCACATGAACAGTAGTTAATTAGAGGAAGGGAAGGAGGGAGGTGGTGTGACAAATCAACTGGGGCGGCTATGAAGTCTGATGAGGTTGGCACTGTTGGCTTTTCCCAGTTTCTTTTTTCAGACAAGACGACGATTTGGAAATTTTTACTTTGTCTTTCCTACGTTCGAGTCTCACATACACATATTTTGCAAGGCAAAGCCCTGCGTGACCAACAGTTTGTCTTTACACTTCCTCAGCTCATGTCATTCAACAACAATAGTAAGTAAGAGTACATCCCACCACTATATATACACACTGCATCTTGGTGGGAGGTATTTCTTTTACCCAATTTAATTTGTTGTGTTATGATTAATTGCGATCAAATTAATCGGAATGAACCCGTCATGTGGCATTATATATCAATTCACATGTTGTAGCGTAATCTTATTAGTTACATCCCGTGAAAAATTACTCTAAATAAGGTCAGCTAGCACGATATAAGAAGTACCTTGCCTGCCTGCATATATAATGTCAATCAATAGCATGAAAATAGGAGAGGTATTATCTCTAATTATTTTGATTCTTTGTTGGGTTTCTAAACTTTCTATGTAAGTGTACTGAATGAGAGGCTGAGATCATAGGCCTAATAGCTAGTCAAAATCCGTTTTGTACAAGTTTTTTAGTTAAGAAAAAAGCAAAAGAGCAAGATTAAAAGTGGCACAGGGAATTTCTGTTCGTATAGAACCCAACCCACATGCGGGCACTTGACTTTGTCTCAGAGACGTACAATTAATCACCAAAACAAAGCTCATTGTTCAAAAGTTGCACCTTATAAATAGTGAGCTACATATATAGCTAGGCTCCTATGCTTAGCAAATTACCCTTCTCTCTCTCTGCAAAGCCAAAGCCATGGATGCGTGCATGTTTTCGAGCGCGCTTTTGTCATGTGATTAGTGATGATCATGCAGTGTATGTTTCTTAATCCCGATAAGCAACTAAAAGTTGAGCTAGGGACCAGGCCAAACCTAGTACTTTTTTAACCAGTCCTTTCGCTAGTCCTTTCAATGGGTTATTAGCTTCGGGAAGAAGCACATGGATGGAACTGTTTTTACTATCTGGTGGTGTTTGGTTTTTGTTTTTCCTTGTATTTCAATGAAGTCTCTGGACATTGATGGGATGGTTTGAATTACCATCCATCTAAGTTTCTGTTTTGGGCTGTATCCGGTCAAACTTTTGCACTGCACCAATCGGTCAGGTTGGCCCATTTATTATTCTGTCAAAATCTTGTTCGTATATGGTACAGAAACACCTAATATTTTTGTAATTTATATAGTCTTTTTTAAAGTTGGTAAATGATTTATTTATTTGCCATCGGTTATTGGGATATTTTGAACAATTGGTGGCACTTTACTTATGCATGGATTTTGTCTGAGATTCTAAAAACAATATTCCAGCACAAGAAGAAGAATATAAAACACAAACAGTAGTATAAGTTGAATGAATGTTGCTTTAGCAGCTGGAGGTCGCTTTACTTTCTCACACTGCAGTGCAGTGCGGTTTCTGGCTTGGCTTGCCCTTATGACAGATTTGTGCATTTCATTTTGAAATTTTTACTTCTTTTTTTGTTTTGTTTGTTTTGTCCCCATGGTATAGTAATTAGTAACTAGGAGGAGGAGGTGAGTGAGACCCTGTGTGGGGAAATTGGTAATGTGTCCCTTTCGGGTTTCCATGCAGCAACATTATTTGGCACCATGGCTTAGCTAGCTATCGCCATCACCATCTCTTTTATAACAAAAGTATTGGGGGAGAAAAGCTCACGCCTTCCACTCTACAGTCCTCCATGTCTACCATACACTACTGTAATATTGTATGTGATCAATATATTTTCTCTCTCTCTCTCTCTCTCTCTCTCTCTCTCTCTCTCTCTCTCTCTCTCTCTCAACTTTTGGATTTGGAGAGAGACAGAGACAAAGACAGAGACATAGAGAGAGTAAATAAGGGCGGAAGATGTATCTGAATAAATAAATAAATGAGAGAGAGATGAGCAGGGGGAGGTATATGATATCTAAGCTAGGGTCTCGGGAAACGAGCAAGGGTTTGGAGCAAATTGGGGGAGAAAAAGTACGGAGTTTAGAGTGGTGTTATTGTAGAGCACGCTAGCTATTCTCTATGCATTGCATTGCCTTGCCGTTTGCCCCCACTACCCCTAGACCTCCTCCTCCTCCTCCTCCTCCTCCTCCTCCTTTTCTGGTTTTTGTCTCCTCCATTCCCGAACACGCCAAAAACCCAAACATCTCTCTATTTAATCAATTCCTCCTGTGCTCCTACGCCTATCCAATCCACGTGCAACTTCCCACAAACTCTAGCTCTCTCTCTCTCTCTCTCTCTCTCTCTCTCTCTCTCAAACGCAATGCCGATCACATTGACAAGCCACATTTATAATCTGATATGATCATAATTTATCATAGCTACCATAAGAACCCACAACACACAAAAAACCAAATACCCAAAACACAAACATAAACAACATTTGTTTATGTATATTTATTGCCTTTCCCTTTCCCTTTCTCTCTCGTCCCCACTTTTCTTCTCCACCAGAAGCCCAAAATCCCACTTCCCTTTCCCAATCTCTCTCTTTCTCTCTCTCCCTCTCTCTCTCTCTCTCTCTCTCTCTCTCTCTCTCTCTCTCTCTCTCTCTCTCTCTCTCTCTCTCTCTCTCTCTCTCCCATATAAACAAACGCTTCATCAAAATCACCATGCAAACTCCCTCCACTACTACTACTACCATTGATGTGGGTACCAGTGCTACTTCTTTCTTAGAAGCTGATGAAGATCAAGATGAAGAGTCCATTTTTCTTTCTCTTGGTCCTCCTGGACAGGGTGTCCCCAAACAGTACCACCTCATCTATCACCAGTCTTCTTCCTCAACCCAACCTCCTCCTCATCATCACCATCATCATCAAGATCAAAACCCTAATACTGATCATCTTGAGGATGGTGCTGTCACAGTAGCTCTTCATATTGGGCCACCAAGTACTGGTAGTACAATTAGTTCATCAATTGGAAACCCTAACCACAACCACATTGGTGCTCCTATAGAAGGCCAGTACTGGATTCCCTCCCCTGCACAAATCCTTGTTGGCCCCACCCAGTTCTCCTGCCCTGTCTGCAGCAAAACATTCAACAGATACAACAACATGCAGGTACTCATCATCACAATCAATACCACTGCTGTATACATAGTAATTCATTGCTAATACTGCTTTTATCTACTTTTAGCATTTTATTTTCTGTATGGCCTAAGCATTCCTTGCATTTGCTAGAGCTAATTACCAAATAATGTTCTTTCTTTCTTTCTTCTCTTTCCAAATCCCCACTCCCAAATGGTCTCCTACACTCGAAAATCACAAATTAAAGTAGGAGTGGAATAGCATTTGCCCTAATTTTTTTTAAAGCTGCGTTTACTGTTAATTTTTGCAGATGCATATGTGGGGGCATGGATCACAATATAGGAAGGGGCCAGAATCCTTAAGAGGGACAAAGCCAGCTTCATCAGTGCTGAGACTTCCATGCTACTGCTGCGCAGAGGGGTGCAAGAACAACATAGAGCACCCAAGGTCAAGGCCACTCAAAGACTTCAGGACACTGCAGACACATTACAAAAGAAAACATGGGTCAAAGCCATTTGGGTGCCGCAAATGTGGGAAGCCATTTGCGGTGAGAGGAGATTGGAGGACTCACGAGAAGAACTGCGGCAAGCTCTGGTTTTGCATTTGTGGGTCTGATTTCAAGCACAAGAGGTCGCTCAAAGACCATGTTCGTGCATTTGGGGATGGCCACGCACCCTATGGTGTTGAGTTGTGTACTGAGCCTGAAGAAGAAGATCATCTGGATGATGAAGATGAGGATGATGATTAAATAACTCTGCTTTATTTGTTTAAGGGTAATTAATTAGTAAGTACACTTGGAGTTCGATTTTTAGCTAACTAGCTAGCTAGCTAGCTGTAATTAATTAATTAGATTTAGTTAGTAGCGATGAGATTCTGTCTCTGTCTCTTCTCTCTTATGTGTGTGTGAGAGACAGTGAGAGAGTGAGGGAGTGAGAAGATGAAGACAAACAGTACAATGAAAAGCCGAAGTTCTATGCATTTAATGTTGGAAGTGGCAGTTCAATTCTTTAATTAAAGTACGTACCTTTTCTGATGCTTTTTTAATATTCATAATTCTAAGAAAAAACTAGAGAGAGAGAAAGAGAGAGAGAGTGAAGGTAGCCAAGTAAATTCAGTGAGAAGAGAAACAGAGGAGGGCAGATAAAAGTGCAGACATGGATACAGTAAAGTCACAGATTCTACTGTTGATAGCTTTACATTTGCCAAAGCTATTGAGTATGTTGAGCTGAGCTTGGACTTGGAGAGCTAAAAGCATCGTAAATACTAAAAAATACAAAAACTTTTTTTTACCCAAACAATAAAAATAAAAATTACAAACACTTTGATCAATGAGTCCATGTAATGTCAGTGGGGTTAAAGAGGGACCACTGAGAGTTGCTGCATTTGGGGTTTCACCCAAGGGTTTGCCTTTTTCCTTTTCAGAGCAACTACAAACTGATACTACGAAACATTTTCAGACTCCTGTGAGCTTTGCCCCTTAACCCTATCTATCTATCTATCTATCTATCAATCTTCTGCAAAATGACCACTATCATCTCTCATAATTAACATCTTTTTCCTTGGTTTTATTATCATTTTTTGATCTCTTCCATTTTTTCTTTTTTGCTTTTATGTATAATATTTGTGCTGCCATCAGCCATGCAAGCATGCATGTGAGGGGAGATCATTTTAGCATGCATCTGTGTGTCTGATCATTACATAAATTCAGGGGCTTGGTTGGTCGTGTCTGGAACCGTAAATGTTTTGTAATTAAATAAGATTAGGGCAGAACTCTGAGTTAAAGATCCGAGGCAACTGATGCAGCTTTAAACTTAAAATCTCAATCAGTTCCTTGCTGTGTGAGCCAATGGGGTGCTTTGCTTGTTGTTGCTTTTAATAATATTGTTTGCATGCAATCTTATTAAATTCTTCTTAGACGTTTTCATGTCTGTATTGTGTCTGCAAACATCGATCTTCGAAAACGAGGCCTCCATCATATTCATGATACTACTATTCGCAAACAACTTGTATCAGAGGCAATATTGCTATTATGGTGGTTAACTTATATATATAGGTATTGTTACTATTATTATTATATAATTTAATTCAAATTCATCTTTTTATATTGTCAAAAAGTTAAAAGTAAAATCAATTTCTCAGCTGGTTACAGTTGTTTTTACCATAACAGCAGCATCTGGGTTGTAAATCGAATCTAAAAAGACTGCTTTCATTTTGTACGTTGGAGGAAATAAATAGGGACCGGGCTGATGATCTGGAAAAGTACAAAAAAAGTGAATGTTGATAGTAGGAGGAGGCTTGCTCTTGCTTCTGATATCATTACAAATGACTAAATACCTGGGTCTTAAATTAGATGCGCAGCATGTGATTCCTTGTGAACATGAATTTGAAGAAGCAGACCAACCTGCACATATTGATACAATCGAATCCTATTCAAGCTATGAACTCATTCTTTTTTTTTCTTTTTCTTTTTGTGGCTGAATTTATATATGTTTATCTGCCAAAGTCACTGGGACTGGGACTGGACATAATAATCCTACGTACTTATGTACTCACTAGTCGTCTTGATGGTTTTCAAGAGTCCAGTGTACAAAACAAAACAGGCAAAAGAGGACGTGGAAGAGGACAATGGTTTTCAAGAGACGACGAATCGTTTTCAAGGACCCTACTGACTGAAAAGTGCTACCGTGAGTGTGAGACCCTCTGTTTTCCCCCTTGTCTGTACTTTTATTTTTCACTCCTCCGTTTTTTTGTTTCTTTGGTTTTTGAAGAGGCCCATTAGGCAAACCCAAATTTATAGCTTATGAATCAATCGGGTCGTATGTTTTAAATGGACGCCCATATGCGTGGTTCATTTTTCGTGGATCTGGTGGCAATTCATAAGCCCAACCCTGATATCTGGCCCAGGCAATTCAAGGTACGTATGGCATTTTATAGTAAGGGCCTTATATACGACCCTTATGTGAGGTCCCCTCTCTTAATCATTTGATTATGGAATTCTTGATTATTGACGACTGTCGTTAGATCAGGGTCCTAGGTTTTCAAACCAACCAATGGTGTTCGTTAGATTGGCCCAGACTTATAGTATGCTTAGTGCTCCCAAGTAATCATGAGCTCAAGCCTCCATGATATAGAGTGTGTGAATTTCCCCATACCCTTCTTTGAAAAAGGAACAAGTAATTGCAGGACAGATAAGCATCCATTATTCCATGACTAGTCCAATTATTATGTTATTACCTAGATGGCTGATTAGTTGGTTCATTTCAATTTTCAACAACAAAACATTAACAGATGATTTCCAAATTTTCCATTAGCCCCTGCCTAAATCCGTCCATGATTCTCAATAAAGTAGAGAACGAAAATAAGATTTTAATACACAACTGCAATAGCAAAACACTTTAAAAAAGAACAAAAAAACAAGAGGTTGGTGCCACGACATACACCAGAAAGTCCACACCAACGTTTTGCTTTTTTTTTTTTGTTTTTTGGGTAAAGTTCCACTTCCACCATAAGATGATCAGTTGGTGAAGTTCGGGATGGTGGCGTTCGGCTCGGTGGCCTTGGCAGCCGGAGATGGCTCAATAGTCGGCGTCGGATCCACCGGCGTCCCGCCGGTAAGCTCCACAGGCAAATCAGAAATGCCCTTCAAATAAAACGTGTAAAACAACTTGATGGGAAATACAATCTGCTTCAGCTTGACCTGTCCGTACACTCCCTCAAAAATCCCAGATCCACCGGTCACGGCCAAATAAGTGTCCTCATAAGTCAAATAGGCTCCCTGAACTGATATGTGCCCATAGTCTCCGAAGTAGAAGCTGTAGATCGCCTCGTACCTGTCTCCTTTCTTCTCTGGTACGTTTTGGATCAGAACACATAAGCCTGCTGTTACGCCCAACCTTTTCTCCAAGTCCCCAGAGTAGATCTTGTTGCTGAATGGAACAAGGTCACCGAGTGAGTTGACTTCTTTTTTGCTGAGTCTTAGGTATGCTGGGCTGCCTCTGTCTCTCTCGTTGATCTCATACACATGCAGTTCTTGAACTTTTGCTGAAAATGGAAAAGGAAATTGAAACCTTTTTAACAAAGAAATAAAAAGAACATGTTAATTGAGCTTATTGCAACAACAACAAAAAAAGTACTTACTGGGTCTTGAAGAATCAGCTGGCTCCTTCTTTTTCTGGGAGAAGAAAGCTGTGCTTGTGAAGTTCTTGGAGTTTGGGAAGCCTTGGAGGGTTGGTGTGGATTTTAGGGTTGGGAAGGAATGCGAGAGATTGAAACCCAACAGTCTTTGAGCTTGGGAAGGTGAAGGAGACCTGATTGAGTTGGAAATATACAGGGAAGAGATTGCCTTGAGAGAGTTTGCAGACGCCATGGCAGAAGGAATCTCAGAGGTTGAAGGAAGGGGAAGATGGAAAGTAAATGGTAAAGTAGTGGGAGACATGATATGAAGCGGAGATAGTGGGAGTTATATAATATGAATTGCTTTTTAGAATATTGCTTTTTGAACACGTGGGTTCTCCGCTTGTGTGAAAAGTGGAATGGTGTGGACGACATTGCAAAGTGGTCGGCATGTTGAGACCTCTTCGGAGGAAAAATAGATTTTGTTTGTTCAAAGGATGCTTGGTTGTTATTTAGAGGGCGTTTCTCACATGGATTCTTGATCATCATAAAGGAAAAATAGATTTTGTTGCAATCCATTTACAATCACGTCTCCCAAAAAGCTAATTTATGAGTCTACTTAAAATCTCCGACTTTTTCACCATTAAAAAATAAAATAAAAAATCTCCGGACTTTCAAAAAGCAGATTTTTTGAAGTAAAATGTCGGGTGGTTTGTAGGGAACAACGATTATTTACAATGAAAATCTCAATGTTAAGCACTTTTGAAGCTAAACCCAAAAAATGTCATGGCTTGGAATGATGAGGTGCATATTCAAGAATTGCAGTAGCGTCATTTTGTGATTCAATTTTCGACTGGTCAAACAGACATGAGCATGACAGGAAGTTGCGCTTCAAACTTTCGAAGGTTTGACTGGCTGGCTAATTCACCCGTTCTGAAAACACGTAAACTACTATAATGCCCCTAAGTATCAGTTGCTGCCACACGTGTTGAAGGTTGGAGCTGCACCGCCAGAGCGACCACTTGTCGAAGGTTGGAGCTGCACCGCCAGAGCGACAGATACTTGGATGAGGAGGAATGCTAGTGTTCGACAAAATGGTCGGTGATTTTGTGCTGAAGTTTCAAAATCCTGGCACAATTTTTCTGGTTTGTTCTTTTCTTCCAGCAGCCGGAGGAGAAATTTTACCTGCATTGAATAATATGTTCAAGGAAAAAAGGGCATTTACCAAATCATTTGGAATTCTTGAGAAAGTGGCTCAAACCTTCTCGTGTCTCAATAGCTAAAGAAAAATGCTACGTGAACAGAAGTTCACTAGAAATTTTATATGATTTCATGACACACAATAAGAAAATGCTAACTACTCTTTTGATGAGACTTTCCAAGCTTTGATCAATTTTACTAAATACAATTCTAAAAAAAAATGTAGAGACTTGTATATAAAGCACTCACGTCAAAGAAAAGGAGCAATACCATGTTAACATATTGTTAAAATTTCAGCACCAGTTCTAGTGATCAGAATGGTATGCTCAAACTGTGCAGCAGGGCTACCATCAGCAGTTAGAGTTGTCCAATTGTCCGGCCATGTTTTACACTCAATGCTTCCCATAGTAAGGATGGGTTCTGCAGTCCAAGAGAAATAAATTTGTGTCATGAAGATTATAGAGTCAGAAATCCACTGTCACATGCTCAAACTTAAGATCTTAAATTCCCCATCTTCGAGGATGGCATCTAGACCAAATAGATCATCGGCTTTTAACCCTCCCCTACTTCAGCAGCAGTAATAGAGGGCTTTCAATTTTAATTTTTACTCTTTGTATTTCTCTTCTATTTTTTTGTAATTATTTTTCGGTACGAGACATTCATCATCCTAGCCATACTACGTCGCCTTCAGTAAAATCTACGCATGTTTTAACCATCAAAATCTGAATAAGGAACTTCCCGGTAGTACTACTAATGCACTCACCAATGGTAAATGTCTGACCTTCAACCATGCAACCAGACTGGTCATTGCCTGTTAAAAAATTAACATTTAGGATTAGTCACGCCTAATCAACAGCCAAATGAATGAATATATTAAGTATGAGATGCAATGCAACCTCCCCACCGCAACCAAAGGAAAAGCAGAAAGAACCCAAGGTTTTTTATAAAAGGAGAAAATTCAACTTTCTTGAATGCTTGGGCGGCAGGTCATTGCAATTTTTCTATGTGAGCAGTTGATAGGTCAATCAGAATGGTATTCTTTCTTTGAGAAATGATAGAATATTCCTGGTCCAGATTCAAGCATAAGTATACCTTTATGGTTTACCTCATTAGGAATAATATTCTCAATTAGTAGCCACCATTATCACACCAGTCACTGATACTGTTCAGTTAATAGCATGAATCTTTCCTATCAGGATGTACCCAATGGCATAAAAAACATGGTGAATCCAAACTTACTGTAGTTTTCTTCACCTAATCATTCATAAGCAGTTCATTCTTTCCTGAGGCGAAGATAGCAACAAAGTATGCAAAAGTAGAATTTCAACTAGTCACTTACGGTGATGTAATATTAATGGTTCAGAATGAAATACAGTCCCCACACCATGCCCAACAAAACGCTCCACCACGCCATAACCATATTTTTCAGCATGTTCGCTGAAAATGATCCAAATAAAATCTTAACAAGAAGAGAAAACATTTTTTTAAATCACCTGTTGTGCATTTATGCAATACACATGTTTATTGCATCATCTTTCAAATCTAAAATATGTCTACAATCTGTTCTTATCCAACATATCACAAGGAGGTGAAGCAAACCTAATTCGCTTTCCAATTTTCTTGAAGCTAGCACCATCCTTGCAAACTGCTATGCCCCTTTCCAAGCACTCTTCAGTTACCTGCCACCAAAGTAAAACGATTAGCAATGATATATATAGATGAAGGTAATGCATAAATTGGAGATCCGTAACAGAATCAAAGCTTAATAAGGAATAGATATAGTACATTTCAAAATAGATATGAAACCTTGATGTACATGAATGATTAAAGTATGTTTTTTGCATGTCCAAAAAAATTCTGAACCACAAGAGGAAATGCTATCAATCTGAAAATTTTACCTTCACTAGTTGTTTGATTGCATCACTGACATCCCCACAAAGAAATGTCTTTGATGTATCTCCATGATATCCCTATCACAGACAACATGGGATATAAAGAATTATACCATTCATTATCAGATAATAGGAAATGGTACAAGAAGTCAGTGAACAAAAATATCCAACCCATTGCATCATACCTTTTATTATCTAATAATGGTAATGAAACAAAATTCCCAGAAAATGGTTGGTATTGAACAAAAACCATTTTTAATGACTGCACACGTTAGACTACCAATAGCTGGTAGACAACTAGTATTTGTAAATGCAGAACTGGCATATTGAATGAATTGACGTAGATAAATAATCGGAAATTTAGGTTACAAACAATTAAACTAATGATAAAAACATTTTCTGGGAGCATAGGGAAGCACACAAATGAGCTAAAGCAAGAAGTCATAAATCATAAAATCAGGAACATACATTTAGGTAGACAGTCACGTCTATGTTTATAATGTCACCACTCTGCAAAAAAGATTATCGTTAGTACGGGTATGACATGAATATTGTGCAATGAGCAATGTACAATGTAGCATTCCAAACCTGTAACTGTCGAGAATCAGGTATTCCATGGCACATGCACTCATTAACAGATGTACAAACACTCTTTGGAAATCCCCCATAGCCAAGAGGGGAAGGATAAGCACCAGCATCAATAATCATCTGGTGCACTGCTTTGTCAATTTCATTAGTTGTTACTGATGGCTGGAAGGATGTAAAAGGATGTTAATGGAATACCAAAAATCCCTGATCTTTAAGATTAAAGTGCCAATGGTAGGAAAACATAAGTTGAATCGTAGAATTAAGATATGACATTGAAGAATAAAGGTACATTCACTTATTCTTTTTCATAAGAAACAAAAAGCTGAATCTTCAAATAGCTTTAAAAAAAAATTGAAACTTCAAACCTAAATTCAGGTAGCAAGCTTACCCTAACCAACTTTCCTGCAGAGTCTAAGACGCGAGCAGCAAGCTCACATGCAGCTCTCATGTCAGCAATGCCTTGAGAGCCAGGAATTTGATGTTCACTGGCAATTTCTGGCAATTCAGATGAACCAACATAAGGAGGCATTGGAATGTGATCTGGAACAGGAAGTTCTGGCGATACCCTTCCACGCCTCAATGGCGGCCTTCTTTTAACCTTTGGTGTAAGCTGCTGACTCTCACGTTCTCTACATATTATTAAATAATCACCAGCTAAGCCAAGTAAGGTCATTGAATGATGTATTCTTAATATCAATTATCAACTTCAATGACTGAATTTAAGTGATGTTCGTGTATCTTTCTCCATGTATATATCAAATTATTGTCATATTTCTACTTTTTGTTGTTGTTTAAATTCCGAACTCTATTCAAAATTCGACAGTCTAATTCAAACAGCATTATTTTATAGGGGAACTCAAATTATCACATTTGTGACACCTAATAGAGTGTTCAACAGCAACTCTGAAACAGCAGAAGAAGGAAATAAAAGATTAATTTGATAAATCCGAGGTTTCACTAATTGTAAGACTTGGTTTGAAGGAACAGGAGGTGAGCGGACTGTACCTTTTAATTCTCATGGCTTCCTCCAAGCCCGAAAGTCTCCGAGCAAAGACAACGAGCTGCTGTTTTCGAGAATATGGTTCTCTTCCTGAATACGCAGAACATGAAAAGCATATAATGACCAATTAAACGCATAGCTAAATCAAATGATTACGAAATAAAAATAAATTTCATTTGCCACAGAGCTAGGTAGGTACCAGAGGTGGAGAGTGAGAAGCGGAGTGGGGCCCCCGAGAAGAGAGATGACTTTGCTGAACTTAATAAGACTTGGCCTTGGCCATGTGCTGAGGAAGCCGAGAGTTGCAGACCAGCGACTGCCATTTTCTCTTTCACTCCAGTCTCGTCTCTCTACACAGAGACACAGAGTGACCAAGGAGGAGGAGAGAGTGGATAATGGAATTACAGCATCATTCGGAGGCGTTTTGGGTTTGCTTTGATTTTGAATGAGAAATACGGGCTTAGCGAGCAAGATTGGGTTGGGCTTAATGTAAAAAGGAGTTTTCTTCTTTTCTGAGCATCATCCGTACGACGTCGTTTCGATGTGGTTCGAATATACAAGATGTTTGGGCTTTGGGCTTTAATGGCCACCACCGACCTCCGGCCTATCCATGAAATTTAAAGACACTTGAATTGGATGCTAAAAAACTGCAATGAATGGGATGAATATTTCTTTCATACAAGAGAGATTTGTGCATGATGAGTAACTTCTCTTAACCATTTGAGTTACAAACCGCTTACAGTCAATGAGATAAATATTAGGCATAAATGAATGTGTAGACGAATCTAAATGCCAAGAAAACGCGTTGATACATGAAACGTTAGCGTCCAACAATTTTCTATAAATGAACCCTAAGTAATACAAAACCAAAATGATTTCAGAAATGAAGATGCATATTATGGCGATATGATCCTACTAATATTCGCTATTTTAGTTAGCTTGTTTTAACCGAGAGTTTGACAAAAACATCCACTAAAAATCAATCGTGAGAAAACCGAGCTCTCTTTGTCCCCTTTCATAGTTTGAGTGTGTGTGATGGTATAACAGCAGCTGCTTTGAATTGTCCCTATTAGGTATAATGGATTACATTTGAAACATCAATTTTCTTAAGCTAGATAGACATGAATTGCATCCATCTCATGCGCAACATGTCACATATCTAGCATGAAAATATCACTCGATTCGATAACACATTGCGATTCGATCAAACGTCCCTTTAATAACTTATTATAAGCATTTCAATATTTAATATTATTTATATTCCTTCACTGATCAAATTCACATCACATCTATCTGAAACTAGAAGTTGCGGCGAAATATACAGAACATTAACCAAGGGCGATCGGCCGCAAAGCAAAACAATACTTGATTAGAAAGAAAGTACAATTAGTTGTCAATATTTCATATTTTCCATATAAATACAAGATTCTTATGCTTTGAATTCGTCAAATATTAGTTATAAAAAGTCAATAATCTTGTGGGATTCTAAAGACGGATGCGATAATAGGCATCTTAGCATCTCCTTTGAGGATGCAAAATTTGACTACACATAGAATTGTTCAAAGTGTGCATGTGATCATATTTCCTTACGTTTAATAATGACAGCAGCAGCAGCAGCATTGATATTTTCTTATCCCCATGAGGCAGGCATGCATGATGCAGAGTACTTTGTATCTAGATATAGTCATATAATAACCACTTCAAAAATTGTATATAGCAACTAACTACTTGATTATATTATCATTATACATATAATTGCAAGAACTAATAATATATTCACTTGCTAAGCCTAAGCCAAGAAAATGTGTGCTTTTACTCATTTTTCACTAATTATGATTACGAAAGATCACATGTTTTAATTCATTTACTAATTTATGCAAGTTTCAGGAAACTCCGTAGCTCTATATGATTTATAATTAGATAATTATGTCAATAAGGTGTAGTAGCTAAGTGAAAAAGAGTACTAACTTGTAAATTAGAGGTCTCAAGTTTAAACCCCACGACATTTTAATTCTTAATTAATGGAGATATTTGCGGGAGATTGTTGTGCCAATACATATCCAAATTATATGCAAAATAGCCGACGTGAAAACAAAAGAAAATATCTATTCCTATTCTAGGATATTACATTACAGCTAGGCTATAATGCTATAATGCTATAATGCTATAATGCTATAATGTTACAAGTCAAGATCTATTAAAATGATCTCAACTTTAGATCCACTGCACCATCAATTATACTTTTTAATCCCCTCTGTTTGAGTAACTAATTATCTCCATTATATATCTTTAATTAATAATTAATTCCACTTGTGCACTATTATAATGTAAGAACACGTAAAATGAAGGCTCATTCTTAATTGGACAAAATGAAGCCAACAACACGCCTGCTGGCTACTGCTATTTTGCTATTGGAAAGAGCTCAACAAATCAGCGCAGAGAGATATATTTTGGGAAAGCAAAAACAACCAATACTATTAAAGTAGTACCTAGCTAACAAGAATATCACAAATTGACACTTATCCTTTGAGATCGAAATCAATTCTTTATCAAATTAATTTGCTGCACCTAATTACAAAGCTTTGCTTTCTTCAGCTTAAGCATTTGTTTTTCTTTTTGCCAACTAATTTACAATTCGCCCCTTTTCTTTTTTTCTTTTTCTTTTTTGGTTTTTGCAACTTCACAAAAAAGAGCAAAAGGAAGTGAAAACAGAAAGGAAAAAACATTTGTTACAAAGCTCCAATGATCCTTGGCTTCTTGCTAAACTCTAATTCCAACAACTCCATCTCTCTCATTCTTTTCCCAACATTATTTATATTATTATTGCAAGAACCTCCACCAATAGCAGCAGTCGCAGCGTCCACAACAGCCCCACCCCCGCTCCCAGGTATTTTGAAAATGTTGACCCCAAATAGCCGAACCATCTGAACCGGCTGAACCGGAACCGACCCAACACCACTGCTATTATTATTATTCACATTCATCCTGGGCTTCCAATCAATGTAAAGCTGCTTGTCCTGTCCCGTCGACCTCTGGAAGCTCACAATGTCCCCGGCTTTCAGGTTCTTCTCCTTCACGAACCGGCTCCACCCTTTGGTCAACACGTAACTTTGACTGCTGTTCCAGTACGAGTACCTGAATCTCCACACTTTTCCCCCGACGTCCTCAAAATTCAAAAGCACGCCTTTGCAAGCAGAACCGCCACTCGTACTAGTGGTAGTGTGGTTGTTGAAGTTGTTTCCGCTTTGTAACGGAAAGTGCTTTTCAGCGTGCTGCTTTGGGATCACGAGACGGTTCAACTTCCCGACATCGCTCGGGGTCACCGCTTTCTCGAAAAGCTGCTCACGCGCCTTCGGGACCCGGTCGGACCCGAACGGGCCCAATGGTCCGTGGGCCCTGGCCCGCTTCCCGTTGGCGTCGAGGAAGCCGTAGTTGTTGCGCTTGCTCTGCTCCAGCTCGTCATTGTAAGTGTGCTTCCTCAACATGTCGACGATTTCGGACTTGGAATGAGTATTGAGGAAGGCGGCCTCGACGTCGTCGCTTTCGTCGTCGTCGGTGCCGGTGCCGGTAGGGGAGGGCTTGAAGTTGGTGACGGCATCGCGGCCGCGGAAGCGCTGGGCGGCGACGTCGTAAGCCTTGGCAGCCTCGTCCTCCTCGTTGAAGGTGCCGAGCCAGACGCGCTGGTGCTTCTCGTAAATCTGGGCGCCCCAGCGGCCGTTGGGCTGGGGGACGACGCCCTTGTATTTGGAGGAGGGGAGCTTGCGGGACTCAGCTTCGATGCCGACGCCGCCGCTGCTGATTTCGGAGTCGAGAATGACGCTGCTGGCTCCGCTGCCGAGGCGGCAGAGGCTGTCGGCGTGGGGTGATGACTTGGCAATTGGGGACATAGCGATAGTAGTGGGAAGAAGATGATTGTTGGGTGAAATGGATATGGAGTCGCTGGTTGTGCTTTCTTCTGTGCTGCTTAAGCTTATGCCATCCATTGTTTTTGTTGCCTAATTTAATTGTGTGTTTAAAGAAGGAGAAAGCAAGAGGGAGATAAGAAGGTGCTTTTGATGTATGAATGATACAAGTCCAAGAGAGGAGAGGTGAGATGAATTGGGATTGTTTCAAGGTTGAGTATATATATATATATATATATATATATATAGGGGGGTGAAGTGAAGGAATAGGGGATGGTGGGTTGGGATTTACTTATGTTGTATGTTTACTGTATGGAGTCTATGTCAATAATTATACATATTAAATTTGAAGAAGAGATATGGGTATATGTGGGTATGGTGGGTCAACCCAACCCAAAGCCAAAGAGATTGGGATGGTAAACAGGTAGGAAGGTTCATGTCTACATCCTTTTTTTATCTTCATTTTCATTTCAACGCTGTAAGGGAAGAGAGAGAGAGAGAGAGAGAGAGAGAGAAATGAGAAACAATTGGCAACTGGGTGGGAACTAATAAATGAGAAAAACAAAATAATTAAATTTAAAAATAAAATAAATATGAAGTGGGGTCCATGTCCATGTAATGCATCTGTCTCTGTGTTGTATCTATACGCTATAGGTCTTTGTTTTTTAGTATATGCACCATTCGAGAGGAGTTTCTCACACACACAAATTACAATTAAAATACTATAAAAATTCAAACATAAAACTTATAGTTTGTAAATTAATATATTTTTTTATTGGACTATACCCCGTTGAGTATGGTAGCACCAGTCTAATAGGAATAGGGGTGATGGATAATAATATTATGGATGTGCGGGTTGTGGGCAGTGTATGTGAGGTGGGGCCCAGGGGAGGGGAGGGGGAAACAAGTTGATGAGGTTCACATGAGCATGGACCTTGTTTTAGTAATTGAGTTCATCCCCCCTGAATAAAGCTTTTGCTATGCCTCTCTCTCTCTCTCTCTCTTTATCTGTCTCTGTGCTCACCCTTCCAGCATGGTCTCCCCTTCTATTACCATCCATCATCTTCATTTATTTAATAAATATATATATATATATAAATGAATCTTATCTGAAATGTGATAATCTAAAATGATTGTGCATAATTATCAATATCACATAAAGTTGGAGAGTGGTAGGATGTTTGGATATTTGTTGGGATTAAGAAGGTGTGTTGCTTTTATTGCTCCAATTAGAATTATAATTAGATAAACATTGAGACAAGGAGATGTTATGTTACTAGTTGTAGCTCCATTCCATTCCATTCCATTCCATTCCCACTAGGATGGGTTGTGGGGCTAAAGTTAAATGAGCCCTTGTGGGATTGGGATTTTTTGGATAGGCATTCACATCTCTCTCTCTCTCTCTCTCTCTCTCTCTCTCAATAGTATACATAGCCAAAGCCAAAGGCTTGGCTCATCCAACAAGAAATTCCATCTCCCCTAATAAGTCCTACCAGCTGGCTTG